GTAACATTATAAGTAAAAGTAGAATGTGTCCAATACTATTCTTCAGCATTTTTATAATGAACATGCACATACCAAAATCATGGCTGTAAATGAATATTTTGTAAGAAAATGGCTGGCTCCCTGTAAGTGATGTGCTATAAGAAAATCACACATAAGGTAGTAATTGACTATATGAAAAGAAAAATAATTCACTTTTATCATGAAGTTATTCAGTTTATTTTTCATTGTAATCTGTAAATACTAAAAATTTTCAGAAATGGTTACTTTTTGTGCTTGTACAATATCAACATTAACATATTTATACATCTACAATTACTTATCAACACATACAGATTAATTATAATGCACTTTTGTTTTACAGAACTATAAGAAAAAACAGGCACAATACATTTCAGTCCCTAATAATATCAACCCAAGTGTTTTTATACATTTGTTATCATTGATTCCATTTTACTGCATAATGGACAGAATAAATCATGTAATTCAAGAATTGAAGAGTTCTTCAAGTAAAATTATTATAAAATTTAAAATTATCTTCATTGTTTATATTCCATTATGTTTGTATTGTTTCATAATGGTAATTACATATGTATATTGAGGTAAAGTATAACATACTGAAAATCTCTGAATTGGAATGTTCTACATGTTGTCATGCAATTAATTGTAATTTTCAACTAAATTTGTATCAGAACAAGACAATCGTACAGCAATTATTTTTTGCCATTTCGTGTTTACAGTAGCAATAACAAATCATACGTATAGCAAAGAATAGCTAGTGGTCCCTAAAGCATTGTTATAACCATGCTCAACTGTACGTATTTCAGTTGGTCTTTTGGAATTCTTCTGTGGGAAATCACAACATTAGGAGGTACACCATATCCATCGGTTCCTGTTGAGAGGCTCTTTCAGTTATTGAGACATGGACATCGAATGGAGAAGCCAGAAAATTGTTCATTAGAACTGTAAGTACACTGTACTTTTGTAAGCATAGTATTTCATATAAGTAATCAGTTATAAGGAAAACAAATTCATATTTCAATTATAGTTTAGTAAGGTCTATACCCCTCCCCCATATAACTACACTCTCAAAGTAAAAAACAAAAATGTAGACATATGTTTTGCTTTCAGTTTGTTTCAAGAACATGAAAAACAAACAGATAGATATTGTCAATTCAGTAGAGAATTTGAAGTGTATTTTTTAAAGTTAATAAATAAAGGCTTTATACATTTACTCATAAAACAATCAAATTTAAATTAAATTTCTTAGAAATTCTTTGTAAATTTTATTTTTATAGGGGAAGAATAATTTTCCCAGCATTTAAATACAGTTTTGAAAGTTCAAGAGAATTAACTGAATTTTGAGTATGGTTACATAGGTTTAGGTTGTCTGTATAATGTCAGGTCACTGGCGATCATTAAGCTTTCTATCATCCATTCATATATTATTATACGTTTGCATATAAATGAATTATTTTTCAGTAAAATGGTATATTAGATCAACAATGTTTTGATTTTTATAGCTACATGATCATGAGGAACTGCTGGAATGCTGAGCCCATTGAACGGCCAACATTTTCTTTGCTTGTGAAAGAACTAGATCATATGTTGACCATTTTTTCAGAGGAGGTAGAAATATGCTTTGTGTTTTCCAAACATGTTAGAAAATTAGCAGAAAACTGTGATGACATTTAAATTTGCAATTAATTGCCACTAAAAAAAAATATTTGAAATTATAATGTTTAAAAGTGTATCCTGTATTGGGGGTGGGGGTTTTACTTAAATAAGTAGCATCATCCAATGAAGTTTTTTTTAAACAAGATTTTACCATCAACACATAAAATCAACTGAGAAAACTAAGTTTTGTCAAGAAATTATAGTTGTTTGGCTTCACCTTACAAAAAAGTTATTATTAATTTTTTCTGAACATGAGAGAAAATTTAATGATTTTTTTTTCTAGTGTTGATGTAGTGGATTTAATGCTGTTATGACACAGTTAAGTACTCTTCTAGTCTACATAAAAATTTAGATAATAATGGAACAGTGATTTTGACTAACAGTTGATATATTAATAGATTAATGGTCTTCTAGTTGACATTTATAAAGAGAGAGACTAAAACAAGCTAGATGTAGCAAACGAGGGAATATAATTGAATTTATTGTTAGTGTTCTACATTCTTCAGGTTTTATGTACAGCATACCATTAATAAAATAAGTATCTGACTGAAAGTATGAAGACCAGTTATAGCAGACAGATGTTTTTCAAAATCCAAAGTAAAGCCTTAGAATTGGTCATTCCCACCTATATTATTACTATACTTGCTTGTTCCACCAAAATGTATTTATGTGTATTATTTTAGAGCTTGATCAGTTTGGACAGGATTTAATATTTTGCTACTTAGTGCTTTGTAACTCTTCAGTAGTCAGGACTATTCAAAATTCTGTATGTTGCCAACCAACTGCAGAGTACAGATCTACATCATCTGTGATTCTATAGTTCATCACTATTCATGTATTTTTGTATGGGGCATGAATTTTGTAGCTTGAAATTTTAGTGCTGTCATATTGTTTCAATAAGACCTTTGGATTCCAAAAAAGTTATTTTATTTAGCCTGGTGTTTTTGATTTTGGTATATATATATGTTTTACAATATTTTCTAAAGAGAGAGAGAGGAAGAAATCTTTGACAATAACTCAAATATAAAGTTTTTGATAAATTTAATGCTAAAAACATGTTTTTAAAGCTAAATCTATAATGTTTTGATGAATTCAGTGTTAAGTTAAATCTGTAACAATGATAACCTTTGATACTTGACTCAAGAAATATGTATATCATAACTAGATTTTACTTAGCTGTGTTATAATGAGAAGTTGTTTGTCAAGTTGATGTCTTGCACAAAGCAGCGAGGTACATCATTAATAGGAAAAATCATGCATAAGATAGAATGACATTTGGTGCTTTATTAGCTCACGTAATTTATTCTAATATTACTGAATATATCATCATCAAAGGTGTGCAGTGCAGCCACTACTCACTCTATCATTGTTGTAATTTCAAGGTATTTTACACAATCAATCAAAGTCTGAAATTTGACAGGATCAGACAAAATTAGTTCTTCAGCAAGAAGTTTTACCAGATCTATTGTAAAACAGCATTAATTTTGATTTTGTAGAAGTTTTTTCTAACATTAAGGTACCTTTATAGATTTCTGCCAGATATGAATTTCACTATGATTTTATGTCACATTACTTACCTGTAGTGAATCCCACACAGCTTTGTAATAAGTTCATTTATTTATTTATTTTTTACTATTAGTATTATTTATACTTTTGTTGTTTCTATTTCTCTATATTAGTTTTATTTTCTATATATTGCTTTATATTATCATATTCTCTGACTTCCATTCCTTTTTCGTTTTATTTTTCTAGCCTATGAAAACTGTTTTAACATCTTTTTAACTATTATCACTCTTATGTTTTTGATGTAATGTACATATTTCTTTTGTACAAACTAAACCTCACACCAACATCTTCAGTTATGATTGGCTAGTCTCCAAGGCCAACTCACTTGGAATGTGCTGCTTACATGATGTCAACATCTGTACCTATATATTACATTGCACTCACTAATCATCACCCTTTATCATCCTGAAGAAGAAGAGTGAACTATTTGAAAGCACTCAAGTTTTGGGTAGAATGTTATATTACATTATTAAAGGTACCTTTAGGGATTTCAAGCTGCAAGCCATATTACTATGATTGTTATGTATATTAAAGGGTTTTTTTTGGATTTCAAACCAGCTAGTTTTACTTTGTTTTGAAAATTTAATGTACTTTTAGGGATATCTGGCCAACTGAAAGTCATATTAGTTTGATTTAGCTATGTAACTTTAAGGTGTGTTTATGTATATTCAGGTCAAACTGATTATCCTAAGATCAGTGGAATAGGTCCACTGAATAGCATGAGATTCATCAAAATATCTATGATGAAGTAAGTCTGGATTCTAGAACTTTCACTGAATTCATGATAATGAAATGCAATGGCTGGACACTATTAAATACAACTGAACAATTTGTATCAAATAACTCAAATGCAGTATGTGTAGTTGCTTAGATGCTGGACTGTCAATTTTACTGTATCATAAGTTGACTATCTTCCTCAAAGTTGTTTACCATGCTTTTCCAATCAAGAGTATATACTACATTGTTTAAATCTACTGTTTCTTACTTAATGGGTAACTTTGTATTTACTGTGCAATTGGTGCTACTCACCGCATTGTTATTCTCATTCAAACAGGGAAATTGTGGACTCAAAATATCACCAGACACTATTCTCTACATTCTTGCACAACATGTATCATTACAACTAAAATTCTCATGGGTAGAACAAAGCAATAAAGACAGCTAGAATGAAATCAGCTTAACGATTTTCTTGACTATGCTTTTTTTCTTGTTTTATGTGAAAACTGCGCACATACAGAGAATAACTGATAAGTTTGAATAATACTATATTTAAATACAAAGGTAAAAATGCATGATGAATCAAATTAATATAATTTTGCTTTCTTACACTAAGGCATTTTTAGAGGCTTTTAGTCAGTGGTGAATTATATTCTGACATGATTTTGTTTCATTGCTGTGAGAAAAAGTTAAAAAAGGAGTTTATAAAGAGGGAGTTTAAATATCTGTAGTTATAGATAAATAGGATTTCACAAATTCAAATAAAAGAAACCATTTTTAATTTAATTTTTCTTTCCTATTAGACATTATGTATGAATATATCTTGAACTACAAAAGTGTTTTAAACCAAGCAAATATAATACTCTAATGTATAGTACATTTTAAAGATATATATCATCAATAGAATTAATTAACATTTCTAAAAGTTTTAAGAATGACTTCTATCATGCCAAGAATTACATGGGTCATGTGTTTTGCTTATTTCTTTTTATTTCACAGAACTATCTTGACTTGAGTGCTTCTTTTTCTGTTCTGGATACTCCTCCATCAAGTGATTCATCTTGTAAGTTAAATATCTCCAATATTGAAGTCACCAATGGTGAAAAAATATAATTTAAGCCACAGTAAAAAATTGTATTTGACATGTGCACTACCAGAGAATATTCTCTGTTTGAATTATTTTAGTGAACTCAATTTTACTCATGTCAGAACTTCAAATGAGTGGTAAAGGTGGATCAGACTATTTAGTTAATGCCTTGTTTAATGTTTATGATCTGGCCCAAAATTATATAAGGATAGGTTATGGAGGTTCAAATATAGGAGTTGAAAGCTTTTTGTTCATTGCTATTTCTCAGGATGAAAACTTATAAGATCATTTGAGTGCTTCACCAAACAATATGAATATGCTAGATTCTTTACTTCAAATTTCAACTAAGGATATCTTCTAAAGAATTAGATAAGCATTCATTTCTGAAGCTCCAACAAAATTTTGTGTTAAGTTACATGGCTAATCACTGCATAATGTTTTAGATGTAAAAATAACATATAACTATTACGCCTACTGTTTAAACAATAAACTTACAAAAGAGTGTAAAATGATTGAAATTTTAAGAATTATGAATGTTAAGTGTAGACATTTCTAATATCATTGTAAGTATTATGTTCATATAAATTTTTGGTATTAAATTTTTAATATTATCTGTTTTAAGATTATTGTATGTTTCTCAAACATACAATAATCTTAAAACAGATAATATTAAAACCTAGCCATAATTTAGACTTCATAGTTAAAGAATATTCAGAATTATTTGTTTCTTCCCCAATTTATTTTTCATATTATACATAGCTTTGAAGAATGAATAATATAATACATTTTATTGACATTGCATGTATTTTCTCTATATTTTTGCATAAAATTTATCTATTTTTTTAATTTCTTTCTTTCTCAAAGTTTTTGTAATTCAACATTGTACCCTTGAACAACAAACCAATCTCATTTAAATGTAGATTCCTTTATAAGAACCAACTTTTGTTTAAACTTGAGTACTAATGAATACTTATTTTTATAAGGATTAAAATAAAGAAAATGCTGTGAATAACTAAATTAAAGCTTATTTACGGATAAAACAAATAATGGTTGTAAAATTTCTTTTTACTTTATTTTTCAAAACTGTTTTGCTATGTTACTTAGCATCGCCCCCCAGTGGCGCAGCGGTATGTCTTCGGACTTACAACGCTAGAATCCAGGTTTCGATACCCGTGGTGGGCAGAGCACAGATAGCCCATTGTGTAGCTTTGTGCTTAACTTCAAACAAACAAACAATACTTAGCATCGACAGGTGGATACATTTGACTAATGTAATGAAATTGTTACCGTATCAACTGCTAAGCAACAAAATAAAAACAAGTCAAATACAGTTGTTTAACAGTGAAAAATTAAAATAAATATAATTTCATTTGTGTACTGGTTAATACTAGGTTTTTGTTTTATAAAAAAAAAGAACATCTTTGTTTTTCTTCTATTTATATTATTTTCTATGTCAATAATCTTGTCATCTGAAAAACAAAAGAATAATTATTGTAATTCTGTTATTCAGATGTATCCACATGACAGTGCAAGGTAATACTAGCAAAGCAAAGTGTTTTTTAAAAAAAGTTTTTAAAATATAGTTACTTCTTTTATCTATGAATAAAACTTTTAACCTTCATATTAAAAGTTCATCCTTTAATTTAACTCATGAATAACTGTTTAACTTGAATTGGCTTAGTGTTTGATCTAGTTGTTATGTAAATTAAATATTAAATTAAAAGTGTTTATTATCCATTCAGTATTTTTTTCTGAATAATGTGACATAGATCAATATTTTTATAATTTAAAATAAGTAAGACCTGATTGTTATCATGCAGGTCTTTACAACTTGATCTGAAACTTGCATTGCATTTTCCGAGGTGTACAGGATTTGTTTAAATCTACAGTTATGGTATATTTGTTTTAAATGTCACAATACAAGTAATTTGATGCACTTTATGATAGTTTTATGTCTCATGATTAAAGTCAATAAATGCATTAGTGGAAAATACTTCAATATTTTAAGATATATAAAATGAAATTAACTGTCCTATTAAAATAACAGAATAGGGAAAACAAAGTTGATTAATATTTATTTAAACATATAACTTAGGTATTTGTAGAAACAATATACCACATTAAAAATATATTTACTGTAAATGAAACTACAACAAAACTGGCAAAAGATTTCTTTATTAATCTATAACAGATTTTTGCAATTTTAAATAGGTCCATCTAATAGGTAGCACACAGTTTCTAAATGAAGCACAATATCAGCAGGTAGTGAACCTCCACACCAGGACAGTCAGTTTTTAAAGGGTGCTCATATCAATAGAGGACATTCCACACATACCCAATGAGTAATATAGAATGAGAAAATGAGCTGGCTATTGCAATATATGGAAGTGCTGAGCTGCCAAGAATTACACTGATACTTATACAGTGTGAAGTTTAGCATTGTCTTATTGGAAAAGAGGGTTCTTGCATATAATGTATAGAAGATAACACAAGTTGTAGAATGTTATTAGGAAGTGTAAATCACTATCCCACCAAACATGTTCGTCCTTTCAGCTGTGGGGGCATTATAATGTGATGGTCAATCCCACTATTTGTTGGTAAAAGAGTAGCCCAAGAGTTGGCAGTGGGTGGTGATGACTAGCTGCCTCCCCTCTAGTCTTACACTGCTAAATTAGGGATGCCTAGTGAAGATAATCCTTGTATAGCTTTGCATGAAATTCAAAACAAACAAACAAACAAAATCACTATCCCATACATAACATCCAATAATGCATCATTGTGGTCCAGGTAGAAACTTGATTTGTGAGAAAAATCAACTTGTATGTGCTGTATTACTTATACTAGCACAAGTGATTCTGCATGAGCAGGGAGTGGGCATTGGTGGCAAAATGGCAAGAAGAATTGTAGCCCAACACTGCTGCCACATCTCTAAAGGAATTACTATTCTCTTTTAGTCCAACAATCCATCCTCTTTCAAAACCTGTTAGTTGCCAAAACAACATTGTTTGTTGTTGTTGTGACATCTTACTGCAACAGGACAACACGTTTCCTGTCATCTGCGTTCTTATATACATGGTAGATCCAGAATAAGAATCTGCACTCCTTATATCATTTCATTCTGTACACTAGATACTGCACATTTCTGTTTAAATTTTTTTTCTTGTTATGGACTAATAGGTAAATATTTGTGTGAACGTTTTGTCTTAATTTTTTTCTAAGTAAAACTTTAACATGCAAAAAGTGTAGGAAAGATATCTGGCTCATATACCAAATTTTTTTTTGTTGCATGGCAAGATAGTTGTGGGAATACAAAATCATTTTTGATTTGTCCTAAGTTTGAATCCAAAGAACAATGTGTTATTTTGCTTTAGAACTGATTTAGCTCTACATCTATTGTCTTGATAACTTTATCAGTGTGAAAATAATGGTTCGTCTTCCCAGTGCCCATTTTATATCCACTTCCTAGTGTCAAAATAGTCAAAGCTCAAATTGCTGGTGTTTTTATATAAATCACTACTGCTAATGTTCACGTTGCATTACATTCAATAATTTTATGTTTTGCCTATTACAACACTCATTGTCGAGGAATGACCAAATAAACTGTGTGAAATCATTTATTTTCTTCTTAACATACTTAAGAGACCCCAGTAGTAAGTAGTAAGATTAATTTCAGTCATTTGAGACTAACAAACAAAGTCAGGTGTCCACAAACAGATTGGTACATATATAGTTCAGGAAACTAAGGGATTAATAATTACGAAACAAAAGGAAATATGTAAGACATTGAATTAAATACTCCTGTATCTATAGGATTGGGTCAGAAATCGCACATCAACGAAATATAATTATGAAATACTGTATTGAGAGCTCTATTTGGTACAAATATATAAGTATATGTATACTGTATTATTTAAAATTATTTGTTACCTGTCTTTTTCTCTATGCATCATAAAAGAAAAATTCCATTGATCTGAGAGTTATGACTGTCTCCATATATTAAATAATAACATGAATATGTTCAGGAACACTATCTAGCAAATACCCGCAAAAAATGTAATTTTATTTTTGATGTATTAACGAAGTGTGTGGCTAGTCAGAAATGTTTGAAATAAGCAACTTAACTAGTCAACTACTGAAATATTTTTTTCACATCATGACGTTGTTGTATACATTAATGTGTTTTTGTTTAAATGTAATACACTTAAGCGTAAAATATGTATAACGTATATTTGACCTAAATATTATACGTATCATTTTCTATAGATTAAAATCTGTCTTGACGAACTATTTCTTGAGATATACTTTTTGTTTAACCGTAGGTGAGAAAGTATAGCTTGATCGATTTGGCAGTGTTATATTTTATCCTTCCTATTAAAAGTATCTCAAAACAACCTACTACATTTATTTACACAGTAGTCTCCCTTCCCTCCAGTGGTTCAGTGGTAAGTATGAAATATTATAATGTTATAATGTTTCTATACCCGTGGTGGGTACAGTACAGATAGCCCACTGTGTAGCTTTATGCTTACAAACAAAACTTCCACAGTACCCGTTTTAGTTCTTCTTTTTCATGTAATTGTTCCAGCTGCATTTCTTCTGTCATATAACTTCATCACAACTGGATCAGTATGTTTGTGCCAATGTATATAAAAATAAAATGCCAACTACTTTAGATTAATGATGTTGTATTCTTAATAAGTTTTAAAACAAATAGAAGCTTTAGTAAATTATAAGAAAAACTTGATAATCTAAAAATATATGTTATTAACGGATGAAAATGTAAATCTGCTTTAAAATGTTTAGCTAGGCTCATCTTTTACCTGCAGGTATAAGCTCGTTTGGCACCGAGTTTTTAGGTCTTTGAGGGCCTGGGAGGGTCAGGTACATTTGGACCTCTTCCTCCTTCCTGATTTGAATTAATGATATTAAAGACTGACAAATGCTACTTGAAGGTATTCAAACACAAAACACTGTTTAACTTCTATGCCTTTTTCAGGGCCATGTCCTTGAATATAATGATAGTAGCATTTAGTGTAGTTTAAAATTTGATCACCAACAGTTACAAACAGTTCATACTGTAGTAGTTCGCTTAATTTGGTTGTGCAAGATCACAAACAGTTCCAATATTAGAAACACTTGTTCGCAAGAGATATTTACTTACGCGTATTTATACATAAATACCCTTTTTTAAATACCACAATAGTATATATTGTTTATATATATTGTTACGTCTCCGTTTGTTAGTTAATTTTCCGTAAAAATTCTTTCCGAAGAAACTTTACCGATACAAGTCCTTTCTTAAATAAAACTGGTTTATTCTTTCTGAATACAACTTTCGAATTCGATGACGAGGAACCCACTTTGTCGAAACGTTGTACATTTGCTGTTATGTTAAACTTATATTAAAGTTTTTCTTCATTACCCATTCAAGCCGTCTCCAGCCATTATGAATACAACTTTGCAATACACTTAATTTCCACAGTCACGCTATAACAAACGATATAATTCACAACGAACGTCTCACTTGCTCGACTCAAGAATACGTCTCTCGCTCTCACTCTGTCCACAGTTCAATTACACATTGTTGCCGTCACGTCTTGACCGTCTTATATGTACAAGAATAGTGAAATCTAGTAACCTCCCGAGGCTTCATGAACGTTCTAGAATTGCGTGACGTGTTACTATAGTCACATGACCTCCGCTGTCGTAACAGTATTATAAGCCTAAAGTAAAGATGTAGTGGGATCACCTAGCCTAGAGCCAAGTGCATAAAATTCATAATGAAATTTAAAATATCGATTCAATTTTAAACTTAAATAGTTTCTGAATTAAGCATTTTCTGTTATACCACCAACGTTTTTAATAAACAAAAACAAACTTCTCTAATAAACTGGAGACTATATTAAGAAATCAACAAATCTTTTTTCCAATTTTGTTGTCTACGTTAAATTTTATACTTTCAGTACATCGACTAACAACAATATTAAGTTATACTTTTGTTGCTAAGCAAAATGGCATAAAAGCCGTTGTTTGAACGTAGTATTACCAAAAACGCACCGGCTTTTCTATATATTAGCAGTTCATATTCCTTTAAAAATTCGTAAATATTGAATGTTATTAGGGCTTCGTTTCAAATTTAGACTATCTTTATCTTTAATTCTATTCTGTATACGACAAATTTTTTTTTAACTTTCGAAGTGATATATTGTCATTTATTAAAGTTACAATGTTTCATTCTTGTGTTTTTCTTAGAAATAAAAAAGTATAATAAAATCTAACATTGCCAAAATTCTCAAATCAAATTAGTAAGTATTGGAAGTTCTCATGAAAAGAATTCCATTATGAAAAGCGTACATCAAGTGTATCTTTCTACAACTATAATATGAAAATAAAAATGTTCACGAAATTTTTGAAAAATACAAAGTTCGTAGTTAATGGGAAAAAATATATTTTGGAACTTTCACGAAAAGAGTTCCATTTTGAAAGGTATAAATCAAGTACATTTTTCTACAACATTAAAATGAAAATGAGAATTTTCATGAAATTTCTTAAAAATACTAAGTTTTGATGAAAAAATTATTTTTTCTGGAAACACGTTAAAAAGTACTTATTTTAAAATAAAATTAAGTGTGAAACCTCCTATTGTCATTATTTCTCAGAAAAATGAGAAGAACGAAACATTGTGACTTTAATAAATTACAATATATGGCTTCCAAAATTAAAAAAAAAAAAAGTCTTATCCAGAAAAGAAACAATATAAAGATGTAGTTAGTGTGTAAGGAAAACCTAATAAACTTCTAGATATAAGAATTTTAAAAGAACTTTCTTTCCTTGAGAGTATAGTAAAATCGAACATAGCCGAAATTCTCAAAACAAATCATGGGATAAGTATTGGGAGTTTTCATGAAAATAATTTGTTACGTATTACAACTTATCCTGGACGAGTTTCCAAATTGTTACCTCATTTATTATAATTTCGAATAACCTGAAACTGAGTTAAATGATAATTTTGATTTAGAAATTAAATAAATGTCGATATGTATCGACTTTATAGTACTTTCCAACAAGATTTATACACACATTGTTTTTAATACAAATATATTTTAATATACAAACAATAACACAATAACAGTTATTATAAATAATGATCTATGTACAAACGTTTTACAAGCTTACAAACAATATTTAATCCTCTATCTGGTCTGGAATTTCTTAGGTATCCTATCGAGGGTTCACGATGATCTGATAAATTTTGAGTAGATGTAGATTCAGTTCACTTAACAGGGAGCTAGTTAGCTCAGTTCTTCGCCGGCCAAACACGCCGAGTTGTTCACCGATGACAATATATAATGTTACAGTAAAACTACTAATGGCCGATGTGAATCCACTGAAGTTTAATAGTTTGTAATGTTCGAATTCTATAAACGTTCCTGGTCAAAATAAGAAGTTCCCGATTAATAAGAGTTGTGACAATCACAGTTATAGCTTCCAAGGTTTATAATACACCAACTATGGGAAACCAATAATATATGATGTCTTTTGGCGTGTCGCATTGGTTATCTTTATAGTCATGAGGAGAGTTTCTCGAAATTTCTGCTAACGTAATAATATAAACGATCCACCAGTGTTGATGTACACATATATATTGTTGATTCTTACACTCGATAATTTTCTACAATTTTAGTGAATAGGCGGGAATTTCGCAATACAGA